GGTAAGATTATTCCTCCAGAGCATTTTATCTTGGAGCAAAGAAACAGGACTGATGGAGGGAAAGAGAATACAAAAATATTCCACCTTCAGAGTTTATCCAAAAGGTGAGAATTGTATAAAGAATCAGTCAGCCTTATATCCCAGGTGCTTTGCACGGCAGGGCTAATCGTACGCCATTCTTGAGTTCTACGTGTTTTTCTGTGCTTAAAAAAAATTTTTTTTTTTTTTTTTTTTTTTTTTTTTTTTTTTTTTAGCGACACTTCAGATGTATGTTTTTCTGAAGCTGATCAGTACCTGGCCATGAACTTTGACAGATCTTCAAGGGTGGCTGGACCTAGGACCTCAGACAATATCTCAGGGGCTCCCCAGTGCTCAGAAGCTCGGGCAGGTGCTCCCCTGATGCCTGCTGCAGCCTAGGACCCTCACCCCATCCCAGCTTCCCTGGCAGAGAGAAGGAAAGCATGCACCTTCCCGTAGCCCCTGGAGAGGATTCCCAGGAGAGCTCCTTCCCTGAATAAGCCCAGGCTGTTTAGGCTGCGGCCCTCTGCTGGCCCATGGCCGGTGGTGGGGGATCAGCCTTGCTCAAACTACATGGAATGAGGAGCTCTGTGCCGAGAAAAGGAAAGGCAGGCTGAGCAGGTGACAAGAGTGGCTATTGATGACAGCCGGTATCACAAAGCAACTCCTTGCACTGTTGCCTTAGTCTGCTTTGCCTGTGCTTTGAAGGGCATGAGTTACAAAGTGGGAGGATCCCTTCCGTCCTTTACACCGATCTGATCTACTTGGACACGTGGGAATGAGGAGCTCTGTGCCGAGAAAAGGAAAGGCAGGCTGAGCAGGTGACAAGAGTGGCTATTGATGACAGCCGGTATCACAAAGCAACTCCTTGCACTGTTGCCTTAGTCTGCTTTGCCTGTGCTTTGAAGGGCATGAGTTACAAAGTGGGAGGATCCCTTCCGTCCTTTACACCGATCTGATCTACTTGGACACGTGGGGCACACTGGATCCCATTTTCTAGATCAAGGGCCCTGGAGGTGATTTGTAAAGCCAGAGTGAAGCATGATTATATTTCTTTACCACTTCACAAAATGAACCAAAAAAAATTTTTTTAAGTTTATTTTTTGTAAGCTTTTGTTGTTGTTGCTTTTGTTTCTTTAAGTTCAGTAGTCAACTTCTTAGAGTCTGTGAGTTGGCAACAGGTAGAATGGGAAATGGATAATTTACAGTACATGATTCTTTTCCATGGAAAACGTAACTCAAGCCCTTGGCTTCAGCATTTACCGCTGAAATAGAAATGATCTGTTTCCTACGTTGTGTTATGGTATTCCTCAAGGCGTTGCATGTTTAACTGAGAAAGCAGGGGCTTTAGCAGCCAACAAGCCAGATTTGGGAGAAGTTAATTACAAACCCTCTGAGCCTTGTCCCTCTAACCTGCAAATGTGTGTCTGTAATGGCCCCACAGTTCGGTTGTAGTGAGGATCAGATGGTCAGTGCACAGGACAGAGCTGCTCACGGGGTAGCTTTATGCTGTCAGGGACTGTATTCTTGACTTATGATGTGCTCTGGACTATACTAACTGCTTTTGACTTGTATCGAGTCATTCAGTTCTCAGCAGTGCACAAGGAGGTGGATATTATTGGTAACCCAGTATTATAGAGAAGGGGTGGGTATGTCTCTATGTCTCTCTCTGTTTCTGTCTCCGTCTCTGTCTGTCTCCCCCTGCCTACCTCCAACTTTACACACACACACACACACACACACACACACACACACACACACACACGCAAGAAACATAAAAAAAAGGGGAGGGGAGTAGGTAATTCATTGGGTTGTCAACCTTTAAAACAAAAACAAAATAAATCTATGGTTTCATAAAATTAAGAACATCTTAAAATAAAGGGTGAGGGGGTTCTTCTGAAAAAGGTTGACTGCATTTAACCATGTGAAGAAATTAATGTCATCTAGATTAGTCTTTTCCTGAAGTGTTTTCACGGATGCAGGTCTGGTGTGGCTCACCTACTGATCTTATCGTGTGGCCCGTCAGCAGCGGAGCACAGGCTGGAACCCAGGTCTCCTGCTCGCAGGTTGGCCCTCCAGGTCATATATTAATAAAATGCCAGGATTTAAATTAAAACTCCAGTTCTTTTTATCTAGAGCGTTTGTATGACATCTCGGTTCCTATATGTGAACCACAAGTGAAATTGGTCATTGGTGTCATCAAAATTTAGTTCTTTACAGTAAACTTTTTTCTTAAAGCCGATTGGTGTTTGGGAGGCTCCATGTTGTAAAACTTCCCCCTCCCTCCCAGATATATTGAGCACTTGCTGTGTGTCAAGCACTGCCAAAGGCACTGGGGATGGAACCACTAACAAGACTGAAGTCCCTGCCCCAATACATTCTAGCGAGGGAGACAGATAGCAAATTGAGAAAAAAATGTAATTCAATTCGTGTAAGTGCCAGGAAGGAATTTTTCAAATAATTTTGATCTGTGGATTAACTTCTTGGATAGGAATGAAGTCACACCCATTTCATACCAAACCCCATTATCTTATAAGCTTTCCTGTGTTGGGAGACTTAGCTGCAAGCAGCATGACTGGTTGGAAAGGTGAAGCAGGTGGCTCCAGGTAGAACTGGGGTTAAGAAAAACGAGGTTCTCAGGGGCCCATTTTTATCCAGCACCTGAAACAGTGTGGAAAATTCAAGTGTAATCTAGGCTGGTGTGGCCTAAGCCTAACAGACAGCAGACGGCATTGAGGACAACAGAGGGAGTAGGGGTATAAATTGTCAGCTACTAGTGTGCACGCTTTCCCCTACCCTGCACTGAATGCCGATTTGCTCAGGTCCCCCCAAATCACAGTAGGTTGGTTTCTATTGTCCCCACTTTACAGGTGAGGAAATCCAGTCTTAGCAGAGAAGTAAAACTATTTACCCAAGTCCATAAGGCCAGTAAGCAGTGGACTGAGGAAGTCTGACTACAGAGTCTGTTTGCTTAGTCTTCAGCATAATCCAGGATACATTGGGCCAATAGTATCAGGGCCCCAACCAGTTAAAACGGGTTCTAGACAAAAGTCAGGGCCCAACAGATAAGCCAAGGCAGCAGCCAACAGAATAAATAGAGACACTTCGGGAGAGAAAGGCCCATGGGTGCCCAGGGTTGTTTCACTGGGCCAACAACAGGAAGCCAGACCAGTTCCAGACCCCAGCTGCTTTGGGTGGAAGTTGTTAAAATCTCCCTTGCCTTGGCCAGGACTTTCTTCCGGGCTCTGAGGCCACCCAGAGCTGAGCGGGGTGAGGTGGGAGGGGGTTGTTTGCCACCAGGGTGTGCCTTGATGTGCACGGTCTTTCCTCTTAGCTGTCTGTAAACCAGAGTTTCGGTCAGAAGCGGGGATTTCTGTCTCTGCCCCTTGCTTCCTGTGTGGGCATTGGGCACCTTACTGACTCTGGGCCCCCAGTTCTCAAACCAATAAAATGGGGATAACACTTAACAACTTCACAGGATGAGGGGGGGCTGAAAGCAGACAGTATGCCATCTGTGAGAGCCTAGCCTGCGTGTGATACACGGTAGACACTTGAAATGGTCATGGGGTTGCTATGATCAACACCAAAACTAACTTTGAAAATAGCCCCATTTGAGGGAGGGGGATCCGTTTTTGTTTGTCTCTTTGTTTGTTTGGTGGAGAGGGGTACACAGGCGGGTGTTACATGGGGAAGGGATTCTGAAAATAAGCGGGTTGTATCCAGTGGTTAATGGTGTGCGTACCTCTTGGTTGCTAGATGACAGGCTGCTCTGTGGAGAAGAAATGCGCCATTTCACTGAGGCCAGAATTGATGTGAGCTAGAAGGCAGGGCACTGTCTTCTAGTTGTGCCAGACAGGGCCTTCCAGGCTGAGTTCTGCAGCACCGGGCTCAGCAGAGGTGCCCTGAGAAGCCCATGAGGCTGGGCGTCGGGGGTGGTGGCGGTCTCTGTCCCCATCGCTCTGGAGGTGGAAGGGTCTCCAGGAGAACACGGGAACTGCTGTAGCTGTCGGCCCCTCTGCCGAGCCGCTGTTCTGGGTGTCCTGGCCACATGATTTAACTTTTCCATTTGGAAGGGTTATTGGTGCAGTTGGCAGCCACTTTCCTGGTAAACGATATGGTGGGGCCTCCATAAACCCAGACCCATGAAACGAATGAAGTCGGCACATTGAAAATACAGCGTGGAAGTGACTCAAGCCTGAAGGAATCCACTTCTGAAAGTGCTGCCATCCCTTCCTGGAATATTTTGGTGGAAATTGATGTTTGGGTTGGGAAGAAGAGGCCAGTGGCCTGGTGACTAGCAGGACCATGGCGTCACATTTAGCAGCATTTGCCCCAAGACTTCATCCCTGCCCGCCCCAGACCTTGGGCCCTCCTTCTCATTGAGGTGGTCCCAGGCAGGTCACCCTGGTATAATAAGCCGTCTAGGGCTCCGGGCTGTGGGGAGCTGGTGCGACCCTGTCTTTGCAGCAGGTAAGGTTGACTCTACAAGTCAGCCTGGTAATGCTTGGCCCGGGGCCTGGAAAGTATTGGAAACTGCTCCCAGCATGGGAGCCTGTGGGAGTTGGCCGCCATGGACGGGTTGCTCTTCTCAGAGTTCTGTGGATTCCTGTGTATTTAACATGTTTACCTTCTTCTCGGACTTCAGCTTGTACTTTGCCCACCGGAGACCAATACGAGCATATACATACTTAACTGTACTAGACCACCCTGGCGACCAGGTAATTAAAGCACGCAGATTTGGAAGGAAGGCTGTATTGGAAATCCCGCTCCACTGTAATTCAAGAACAGGTTTCTTTATAGAGGGACACAGTTGGTGTCAGACACATGTGGAAAAGAAAAGAACAGGCCCATAATTCTGGCAGGATACCAAGGGCCAGATGTTAAATATGCTGACCATGATCTGGCTGTAGTTGCCGTTAGCCAGCCTGGATCTGATGTGTTATTTTAACCCCTGTTTCTGCCTTTTCCTTTCTCTCTGCCAGGTTCCCAGTCTATGTGAAGATCTCCTGTCTTCTGTTGACCAGCCACTGAAAATCGCCAGAGACAAAGTGGTGGGAAAGGATTACCTTTTGTGTGACTACAACAGAGACGGGGACTCCTATAGGTGAGCTCCTGCCCTTAGAGTGCAGCAGGCATGCCAGGCTGCACCCTGGGCAGTCAGTGCCACATGGCAGCACCTGGACTACTGGACTTTGACAGGCAACAATCTACCAACCTTCTTTACATTTGTCCTTCTGTCAGTCCTTCTTCCCTCTCTTCCTCCTTTCTTCCCTTTCTTCCCTGCAATCAACCAGATGTTGTGGAGTACCTTCAGTCAGTGTCGGAGATGCAGCATGAACAAAAGGCCTCTGCCCTGGTGGAGCTTACAGTCTATTGGGAATGGGATGTGAGCAGTTTCATTATAATTCAGTCCTGCAACAGGCAAGATACAAGATGTGGACGTGATGGGGATCTGAGCACAGGGAGGGCCTGTGTGCTTAAGGGACATTTGAATGTAGCTTTGTCAAACAAATATACAACTCTCCTTTCTCTTTTCCATCACCATGCTGAGGGCAATAAATAACTAAAGTGACATAAGCCCCTACTCTGGGTGATCACTGGTCTAGAACCAGAGATGTATCCAGCAGCTGATTATTGTATGATAAGATTCATGCAGTCACTGCCAAGCTTATTCAGGGTTTGAGGGTAGCATAGAAGAAACCATGGTTGAGTCCAGGAGGGCTTCCCGAAGGAGGTGATGTTTGAGCTAGGTTTTTCATAGTTTATTTATCTTATTTTTATTGATTTCAGAGAGGAAGGGAGAGGGAGGGGTAGATAGAAACATCAGTGATGAGAGAGAATCATTGATTGGCTGCTTCCTGAACACCCCACACTGGGGATCGAGCTCACAATCCAGGCATGTGTCCTTGGCCGGAATCGAACCTGGGACCCTTCAATCCGCAGGCCAATGCTCTATCCACTGAGCCAAACCAGCTTGAGCTAGGTTTTTAAGGGTCCCTTTTTGAGCTTCAAATGGAAGTTAGGTAGAGAATGTATTTTGGCTTAATCCAAGCCAGACCAGAGACTAGAGTTGAGAGGGTGAATAGTAGTCTACTTGTAAAAGTTGAGCCAGCAGAGTTTGCAAGTGGATGGGGTATGAAGGGCAGTTGCAGGGCTTTGGGCCTGAGCAGTTGGAAGGTGGGGTCACTGTTTATTGAGGTGGAGAAGACTCTGGGAATTGCTGGTTTGGGGGCATTTTAAGCTTCAGATGCCCATTAGATAAATGTGGAGATGTCCAGTAGACTGTTGATAGCCTAGCCTCCTGGGTGGAGAGGGAGATGCAGGTGGGAGTCCCCAGCATAGAGTGGTGAAGCATCAGTTGTGAGCATAGGCCCAGGTCCAGTCCTCGCTGGGAACCTCCTAGGAAAGGGAGGACCAGCCCTTAGAGAGGAAGACCCTTGAGGTCCTAAGGACAAGCAGCCTCACCAAGCAGGGTTCAGAGGAGGCTTCCTGGAAGAGGTGAACCTTGAACTGAGTCATGCTTAATCAAGATCATTATGTTTCTTTTTTCCACCTGAAAACTCCAGCTTGCTGTGTGAGGCAGCTATTCCCCAGCAGCCTGTGGAAGGCTGGGATCATTTCCACGTCCATGCCAAGGCCGGGTTACCCGGGGGACTTGGTGCCTGCCTCCCCTCCAGGTCTTCCTGCCAGCTCCAACCTTCGTTCCTCAGGCACTGCAGAGGGGCCCAGGGACCTCAGCTGAAGAGGAGCCCGGGGTGTCAGAGCCCAGGACTTTTCTTCCGTTTTCCCTCTTTTGATACAAAACTTCAAGGTCTTCTGATTTTCTCCACACATTTCCATCCTGTTTGATCGTTTGCTTAAATAAGATCCTTATGGTGTGGCCGTTGCCAGCAGCACTGTTTGAAACCTGTTAGCTGAAACAAAAAGCATTCTCTGAGGGAAATGAAAGGCCTGACTTTTGAAATCTAAGTGTTCCTGTCCATCTGTCTTTTTTCAAATGGCCTCCATTTAAGCTCTTAAATGTGTTCTGAGTGCCCCTTCCACTAAGAATATTCTGGGTAATGTTATGATTTCCCCCCAGCTACAATTACCCCGGCTCCAGGACTAGCAGCTTGAAATGCTGTCGTCTGTGAGCCAGGAGAAATGTGAGTTACAGGCTTCTTGAAAATTCCAGGCCCCCAGTCTGCAAGAAAGATGGGCTCTTGTGTCTAAACAGGTCGCCTTTAAATGAGAGCCAGTTGGGGCGGGTCTTCCAGGCCCACAAGAAGACGATGGCTGTTAACTGGGGAAATGAAGGGCTGAAGGCCAGAGCCTGAGTGTGTTGAGGAGACTCGAAGAGAGCACCTGCAGGGGAAGGGGGCTTGGATTCTCACTCTCAGATTGTTTTCCACACCCACTGGCGAGTGGAACTACCAAGGCTAGTTTTCCGATCGGAAGGTGACTGCGCCCTTCAACTGCACCTTGTCTCTGGGTCTGCGGAGAGGCCTCAGCAGGAAATGCAGAAAGTTGCTCTGTCTCTGTTGGCTTGCAGGACCACAGCAACCAGCGAACCTGGGGGTCCTTTCTTCCCCACCCCGTGCTGTACGTCGCTAGCCCTTACTGCACACGGACTCGGTGCTAGGTGCTGGGGTGAAGGCAAATCGCACAGACTCACTTCTCAATATTCTCTTGCAGTCTAGGGCGAGGGAAGGGTAGAATATGGTCAGAATCGACATCTGTGTGGCAGTGGGGACAGGGAGGGGGGAATGGTTACCTCTGCTTTGGGGGGTGGTATATAAGAATTGATTTATTCTTTGAACAGCACTTTTTTAAAATTAGCATGTGGTTGAGTGCCAGGCACTGTTCTAGGTGCTGATCAAATGATGGAGGACAAGACAAAAGATTTGCCCTGTTGGAGCTCAGGTTCTGGAGTTGGCTAGCTAAATTCAAATTAACTCAAATTAAATTAAACGAAAATTTCAGTCCCTCAAGTTGCATTGGCCACATGTACTCAGTAGCCACACAAACTCATGGCTGCCATCTTGGACAGCATAGAGAACATTTCTGTTGTGATGGGAAGTCCTGTTGAGCAGCACTATTTTGAAGAATGAACCAGATAAGTCTGCCACCCTTGGAAGGGAGAGGTCTTCCCTACTTGCTGACGTAGGATGCCTGGTGGGGTACCCGTTATCAAGAAGAGAGAGATTCGTGCTCAGAATTTGTTAAAATGGGTTCAGGAAACAGTGATACCTTTTTTCCTTAACATTCATCCCAAATTGAAAGGTTCCTTTGCGTCCTCAGTGATGTGAGGTGTGTTTTCAGCAGGAGAGACGGGAAAGGCAGTGTAGGTTTCTCACAGTGGGCATATCAGGGTGTGAAGGGCTTTGTCCGAGTTTCCCATTGTCTTCTCCTTCCCATTCCGCTCACCTTCTTACTTTCTTTCCTTCTGTGAACCCCCAGCTCTCTGAACTCCACCTGCAGGATTTAATGAGCAGACACTTCCCTTATAACCCCCTTTCCAGTACTCTGTGTGATTAAATGCTTTCCTGATGTGGCAAATAACGCTTTTTAAAATGTGGCAAGTCTTTGGGCTGGCAAAGCAGAGACTGGTTCTCATTTAGCAGTCCTTACATGTGTATGGCCCTCGGTGTTGGGAAAGCTGCCCTCTGTCCCCGCGGAGAACTTGATCGCTCAGGTTTTCTTATGTGTAATCCGAGTCTCCATGGGGCCTAGTCTCTTGCCCACTTCCCTAACGACCGCTCTCTTCTTCATCCTTAACTGTGTAAGACGGTCTTTGGAGTAAAAGTTTCCCCCGAGCTGCAGCAGGTCAGGGAGGAGAGAGGGGCATCTGTTGATCAACACAATGGTGAGAACAGGACATTAGAAAGGGGGTAAGAAAGAAAGCACAGTTGTTGAACACTCACTCTATACCAGGCTCTGGCCCAGGCATTTCAGATTGTATTTTCTCCTTTGCTCCTCACAACAGCACCATGGGGAGCAGATGGTAGCTTCATTTTATAAAGATATCACACCACTTGCCAGAGGTACACAGCTGGTGAGAGGTGGACCATGGGGCTCATACCCAAGAGGGCTGCTGCTGAGCCCTCTCTCTGCAATCCTCAAAAATGCTGGGTTTGTTGTCAGGGCCTGGAAAATCTTTGCTGTGGGTAGTGGCTTTTTCTCTGAAATTTTGGATAGCTGGTCTTGGACTCACGGGTCACAGGGGGTGTCTCCCTAAAATGATACATGTCACCTCCTTCTCCTTCCTTCCTCCAGGTCACGGAGTAACAAAGCTGGTCTTGGACTCACGGGTCACAGGGGGTGTCTCCCTAAAATGATACATGTCACCTCCTTCTCCTTCCTTCCTCCAGGTCACCATGGAGTAACAAGTATGACCCTCCCTTGGAAGATGGGGCCATGCCTTCTGCTCGGCTGAGGAAGCTGGAGGTGGAAGCCAACAATGCCTTTGACCAGTATCGAGACCTGTGAGTTACTTGCTCCCAGTGCACTCGAGCTCTCACGGTTTGATAAGTCCATCATAAGTAAGAGTGCGGCCAGGCCGATAGACTCCCTGGAACCTGCTACTTGGCCTGCCTGGCTATTTAAAATTCTCTGCGCCCAGAGCAGATGCTGGGCACTAGTTTTCCAGCTGGGTCAGTTGGGAGATGACTCAATGGTAGAATGCTATCATACGCAGATTTATCTGTGCATTGCTTCATGCCATGGTTCCTGGTAACAGCAGGTGCCGTTGGACAGCACCTAGTGTGTGTAAGACACAGTGCCAGAAATTTTCTACAGTTCGTCTCAAATCCCCACAAACATGATGGCTGTTTTAGTTCCCATTTTTTCAGATGAAGAAATTAAGGCTCAGATAAAGGTGTTTGTCCCAAGCGAGAGGCAGAGCCAGGAATCACACACAAAGGTGTCTTCAAAGACCCCTCTGTTCTTGATCATACTACGTGTCTGACCCAGTTCTGACCTGGTGCTCGGGGGTCTCTGCTTCCAGACCAGTCACCAGGGCAGGACGAGTCAAGGTCCTTAACACAGTGGGAGCTGACATTTTGCTGGCTCCTGAGTTGCTCCTCGGGAGGTGGTTTTGCTGGTTCTGGTTAGATCCCTACCTCTTCTTTCCTCTCCCATCCAATCCTGCCTCCCATCCACCACCAAAAAGAGTGGCCACTTAATCTACCAGCCTTGCAAGGAAAAGCTCCAGAAAGGTTATTCTCTTCAGTATTCTTTTTTAATCAACAGAATCGCATTTTTGCTTAAGTTCTATATTACATAGCAAAACTGTACATTCAGTCACCTAGAGAGGGATTGGCAAGCTTTTCTATAAAAGGCCAGAGAGTAAAAATGTGAAGCTCTGCAGGCTACATAAGTCCCTGCTACTTTCTTTTTTCATTTTATATTACCTTTTCAATGTATAAACACTACCTCTTGAGCTTAAGATGGGTGGCATTCCACCCTGATCCAGGATTTGGACAGGAAAGAAAGTGAAAGCCGCTGAGCCCCGTGCTGTCCTGGAGCGGAGCTGCTGGTGCCTCACTTGGCATGGGAATTTCAGGTCTCCTCTCCCAGACGCTGGAATGCTCTTGCAGCTCATAGCAGATGTGATGGAACACATTTAGTAAAGAATCTCTTTAAGAAGCTGGTTCAGGAGGGAAAGTGGCATCTCAGCCCGATACACAAACAACCCTACCACCTTTCAGCAGATGAATGGAATTGAAAGGCACAGCCTCGGACAAATGGCCCTCGGCGTTTCATTTGCCCTGAATGCACTGCTATGTAGCCATTTTATCTACATTACCTTGATCCTTTTGAGAACCTCTCTGGAACATCCTTTAGCCCCTTTTTAACAGATGAAAAGACTGAGGCTCCAAGAGGCGAAATGACTCGCACTAGGCTGCAGGACATAGAGGTGAAAAGCTAGGATTTAAATTCATATTTGTCTGAAGTTTCCACAGATTATTGCTCTTCACAGTTGCTCTTCAGTGTTTGGAGAGCTCTTACATCTAGAACTTTGCCCCATGGTAGAATAGTTACTTCTCCAGTGGGGCTGAGAAGTTGACTCATTGCTGTCTCATCATTTATTTGTAGTTGTTGATTACTATCTTCTTTTATCTGACCAGTTGTCAAGAAGCCAATCCAGTTACTAAGAATTTCCAAGTGGAATCAGTTTTATATTATAGTGATGATTTGATAATAAAACAGCAATGATGATAACAGCAGTTACCAGCTGGTGACCGTGCAAGCACTGTGTTAACTGCCTCACGATCTTCTTTATCTCATTTAACCTCCCAACAGCCTGTGAGAGAGGATTCTCCCTGTTTTACAAATGAGTAACTTGCCCAAGTTCACACAGCCAGTAAGTGGGGGGACTGGACTAGGAAGCCATCCTTATCCAACTCCAGAGTCCATTTACTCGCCTGGCATTTGAGTGCTTGCTATGAGCCAGGTACTTGCTAAGCAGGGGGTACAGCCTTGAACATGGCCAGAGCTTGTCCACAGCTGGGTCCAGCTGTCCAGCACCTTCCTGGGCAAATGTCCACTTTTCCAGTGGCTTTAAAGCTTTAGTGGCTGCATTTCTGTGTGCCTTTGAGTGTGCCTACAATCTCCTCTGAGAGTGAGCTGATCTGGGGGGAGTAAAGGGGGTGACAGGACAGCTTCCTGTTACCCACGTGGGGTTAAATTGGACAAGCCAGACCCTGAGGTTCCGTGGCAGTGTGCGATGGTGGAATCCGGCCCGGAGGGTGTTGCTCTGTCCCCACCAGCGTGTGCTGCTTCCAGCGGGGAGGAGGAGAGTACAAAGCCTCCGAATGGCACCCACAGGGAGGCCTGGTTCTCCCATGTGACAGCAGCCACTGGCCACTGGAGGGATGGTGGTTACAGCTGTCACTGGGGACCCAGAGTCATCAGTTTTAACCCTCCCCTTCCCCCCAGTGTTATCAGGGTGCACTGGTGAGCGCTGTCCTGAGACCGAATGTCAGGAACATTTCCCCGCTGGGCCACACATGAGCCAAACCATTTTTGGGTTTGAGTTGTTGTGGTCACGTTGGTATCTGTGGTGGGACCCAGAGCATGAGCTCTTTTCCCCGTGGTTTTGGAGCAGACGGGAGTCAGCCAGGGGCTAGGATGCCTGTCTCTCCCTGCCTTGAGCAACACAGGCTCAAGGGTTTTTAACTCTGGGTTTTCTAGGGACCACACTATTCCATGGCTGAAGGAACAGGAGGTCGTGCCTTCTCTTTATCCGCATCCCGCCCCACTCCAGTAGAGACTCATTTTTTTGCCCCAGTGAATGAAGCCGCAGAGCTCTGACATGGATTTGTCCATCTGTCTCCCTTTCACGTTGGCAGTGGGCTAGGCAAAGGTCACTCTGAGGGGAGGCGTGCCCTCTCCCCAACCCCACGCCATGATGCTGCCTCAAGTCTGTTGGTTTTGGTCACTCTGAGCTGCTGCAGGAGGGGCCGGGAGATGGCGTGTGTCCTGGGCCTGGTGACAGTAGCCCAGGGCCTCGGGCAGCCCACCTCTGCCAGAAAGAAAAGGGAGTAATGGAAAAAGCTGTTGCCCCGAGAGCAGGACTGGCACAGCATAGTGCCCAGGGGGGCGGATGAGGGGGCTGCCCACTCCAAACTGGAGCCTGGCCTGCGCCCCACAGGGATTGAGGATGTGAAGAGCAGACCTGTCCCCATGCTCTCTGGGTCAGTGGTTGCCAACCAGTGGTCTGCGGACCACTGGTGGTCCATGAGGTCCGAAAGGTTGGCGACCGCTGCTCTGGGTCTTGACAACCCAGGTGTTTCTGAGTTCTTGAATCCTGATGAATGGCAGTTAGGACTGGGTTTATTCTCTGGCCCTTGACCTCTCACCCCCTCAAATGGCTGAACGCTGCCGGACTCCAGCCACGTTGGGGCTCAGAGTCCTTTGTGGCAAGTGCTGTGCTGTAATGTGCCTTCAGGAGACTTCTTGTCCTGTGGTCCACTCTGAGGAAGGGCCTTTCCCTGCCCTGGGAGGCCCAACTGGACTCAGCTCACACAGGAGGCCTGCTCTCTCCTGCCCTCCCTGCCCCTGCCCCTCCTGTGCCGTAGAACTGAACTTGGGGGGATTTTTGTTGTCACCAGTAAATAGGCAGACACAGCTTCAGCCAGCACCAGCTGTGTATGTGCGCACGCGCACATTGGTGACAGGGCACCCTGGTTCCCTTTCCTCCCTGCTGCTTGTGGGTCCATTAGCCTTGCTTACTCCTGATGTTCTCTTTAAGAGGATGAGGGAAGCGGACCCAGTGAGCGTGCAAAGATTTGGAGCTGAAACGCAGGCCAGCATCCTGCTGGAGCTGTGCCAGCTCTTCCCAGGGAGGGGTGCTCACTGTCCCCCACAGGCTTCTCTCTGCCATGAGCATCCTGGGGAAGGCCTTGGATCTGTCCTGGGCTCTGGGCCTTGCTCCCGGGCCTGTAAAGGCTCTGACTTTACAGGGAATTAGAATTAATTGTCAGCACATGGAGTTGGTATGGTCTGGGTGAGGGAGCAGAGCCAGGGATGGATGGAGTAGCAGGCCCTCCACTCTTAACTCCTATGGGGATGTGGCACCCCCTCTTCCTTGCCTGCACAGCATTTCTCCATTATGGAATAAATGTGCCAGCAGTCGGGGGCAGGACTCTTTCCCCAAGGTGGGCAGAGGTGAGTGGGGTCCCAGAGACACGAGCTGTGTGTCCTACACGATCCCTTTGAAGCCATCCATTCCTTGTCATCCTACTGCTCAGGGCTCTCTACTGCACCCTTAGCCCCAACTTCCGCCCCCTCCCACATTCATTGGGGTTTTGTTTGCCATCATTAGCGGCAGAAAGTTTCCATGGTAGTAACTTCCCCCCAGGAAGATAACTGTCAAGCAACTGTTAGCACTACCCAAACAGTCTGTTTTTAGATTGAAATAGTCAATTTGCTGAGGACAGGCATGTTTTGCTGGGGCTGGGTGAGGTCATTATCTACTCTGAAGTCATCTTGAATTTCATCACTTCCCTCCCCGAATCTCTCCCATCCTATTCCCCAACATCTAGGCTATTCTCGTTTTTCCCTATCAAGCCCCCAGATGGCTTTCCATCTCTCATTCTCGGGCCTGGCTCAGTCTAGGGAATGTCATTAGGATGCAGCCCTGGGGTCGGTGGAATAAGGGCACACACTTGGGTGACTGGTTCATGGGATCACTTCTTTCTTGGCAGAGTTGACTGCCTTTTCAGGCCCAAGCCTAGGGTAGCTCACCAGTTATAAAACCTCATCACTCGACCTAAGTGATCCATCTTTTTTGAGAGAGACTTAGCCATGGGGCCCTCGGCATGTGGTAGGCGCTTGAAGCTGCCGAAAAAATATCTCACTTGTGGTGTGAGGCACCAGCCGGCTGCCACAAACCCCAAGGTCAGTGCTTTGATTTTTCAGGTTCCCAGAGAAGACAGGAGCCTTGTCTGCTCCGGCTTTCATATTGTGTCTCACCGTTGCC